ACAGACCCATATATCTATCTAAGTTATCACATTATGATGGTTGACAGACCCATATATATATATATATATATATCTAAGTTATCGATTTAATCGATTAATTAATTACCAATAAACATTTATCATTGTCATGTAAGCTAAGTCATTAATCAAAATTACAATTAAATCAATTTATGTTTCTGATCAATACTGTTTTCATGTATTCCAACAATTAATCTATAGAAGTTATAACTAAATCAATTGTCATGAAAAGAATTAACTGACTTAAATATTGACATTATGTTTGTTCATTGGTAAAGTGTACAAAGCTACATAATATACTATCTGTGTTCCATCCACTAGGAGTATCGAAATAGGATTTTAGCATTATAAGTTGTTTTTTTGTACTTCAAGTTTGGGCCAGCATGTCTTATGATTCAGAAGGAGCTAGTGATTTGACTGTCTGGGGGTCATTTCCAATAAATTTGCTCACCTCATCTTGTTACCCCAAACCTACTAAGGTTATCTGTCACTAATTTCATACTGTTATCTAGAAGGAAAGCAAATGGCTGGCACCACCCAATGCCAACTGTTTGACTATTTAAGTGTTAAATAAATTGTAAGTTTACTGTTTTCTTGCATTGCTAACTTACAACTTAATGACTGTATTCTTTAATGTTGTACAACAAGCCCTGGATACAGGGGGGTTCAGAACCTTACCCCTTTCATTTTTCCGAGAAATCAATAACTATTATTTAGTGTCCTATAAGCAGGTGCAGATATAGGGGAGGGTCCAGGAGGGATAGTCCCCCTCCATCTTTTTTTCACAAGTTAATAAAAATCAGTCATACATCCTTACACAACCATATAATAAAAAAAAAACAATCAAATGTCAGTGCTTTTATTTGATTGGTCTATTAATTCCCATAAAAGTTTATTTTTCAGGTTTTCTGAAACCAACACAGAGTCTACAGCAATCTAGATAAGGCCTTAGTTAATAACTGATTATTTCTAAGCCAATACAACAAGATGAATATCAATTAAATGTTGCCATTGTAAATTTTCCGGACACTAATTATGTTATGGTGTGGTAACAAACAGATTATATGAATTGTGTTCCAACCAATACTGTGCTTGTCATCTCTCAGAATGAGGAGCTCTGTTGCCAATGGATACAGTGGACATAATGTGGATTAAATACTATTATCTACTCTTCTTGAAAAATCTTAAATGGAGTTAATAAAGAATGTACTGTTGAAAAGTATAATAGGCCTAATACTATATTATAAAACCCTATAACCCGAGCACTTTCGAAAGGTGTACCTTTCTTTTTCAGGGACAAACTGGGTTATAGGGTTTTTATTATTTTGCATCAAGACATATTGAACCTTCATATTTTTCTGACATCATGAACTGGCCTAATACTAATATCTTTTGACAAGTATAATTAACTCTACAATGTGTCTAGACTTATGGGTTAGTTTTGTTTAAGACACCTATAGCTCATATAAAATAGACTTGTTACAAAATTGATTTTTCATTGTTTAAAGTTAAAATTCTTGTGAAAAAAATGTTTTTACCGTTGTTGATGTTCAAAATAAGTGAAAATGCCAGTGGTATGGCTGTATCAGTGATGACTGTAAAAAAACAATTTAATCATCCTGTTTAAAGATAAATGTTATAATTTTTTTCTAAATATGATTCTAAATAATTATAATTCATTATAATTAAAAAGTTGGAATATTTGTTTTTAATCAATTAGCATAAACCACTAATTGCTCAGCAATGTTTGCAATACCCGAACATCATAAAGGATAAAATAATCACTTGTTTGCTCATATCTATAATAATAAAAGAGCATGTCTGTGTGTGTGTATGAGACCGCTATAGCTCCAACAGGAAAAAACCTAGAAATCTGAAATTTTGCACCCATACTAAATGGACCCTGAGGGTGTGCACCTGGGTATTTCTTATCCACGTGCATGTGCGCATCTTTTTAGTTAAGCAAGCTCGTGAAAAACCACATAGAAAAGATGTGCTTCCTTACATTACAAATAGAAATCACAGACAGACAGACACATTCTTTTATTATAGACACATAGCCTATCAAAAAGGATGAGGCAAATACAACCACCCCACATATAGCCTATCACAAATTACAAGGCAAGTACTACCACCCCACAGTATACCCTGCAGTATATTAGTTAGATTAACAACTTGTAATATATGGAATAGCCAGTGTGTTTTGGTAACAATGCATTCCAACAATGGCTTTTATGTCATGTCGCTTAGCAACAAAAGCATAACCTAATATTGTCGTTAGTCTATGTACTGAAAGTATAAAGTGAAATGTATAGATAACACTGGAAAAATATTTGTTGATTTCTTAATTTAGAGTCTCCATTGAATAAAGAGGTTTGTTTTTTTATTTAAAATGTTGGTGATATAACAGAAAATATTTTAATTCAGAAACGATTTAAGTTTAAAATTGGATCGATATTTTTACTTTCATAGTAAATTTCATGCACTTGGCTATAGGCTAGGTTATCTCTATGTCTTTATTTTAGGCTTATTTATTAATTTCTTTAAATCATACCAACATTCACGACACTTACAAGGTTTCATGGCAACCCCCTTGCACCCGAAACAGGTGCCACTTTGGAAAATTTGGGCTTTAAACATCACTGGTCCAGCATCTGATTATCCATTACTGCAGCCTTGTAAATAAAACAGCATCTGACATAAAATCCTTTTTTGTAAAATGAATTACAAATCAATGGAAAACATACACCAAGCACACAGCAATTCAAAGCTGTTAAAAAAAAATTAGCACAAGAAAAGTGTGATCATCAATATTATCGGTATGACATTACTAGGTTGAAGCAGTAGACTTAAATTTTTACAGTAAAAAGAAGATCATACATATAAATTTTGTCCTACAATATAAATGTTATTATACATGAATTTGAAACCACCAGGAGAAAGAGCTCAAATCCTTGATCAAGGTCTGTGAAAGGGTCACCCATTAGAATCTCACCACTGTTAACAGTATTATAACATTGAAATTGTATTATATTTTTTCATGATTATAATTGAAGGCAGTAGGAGATAAGGTTATTAGTGTAACATTTGGAAAGGTTAGACATAGTCCTACTGTTACTAAACACCAAAAAAGGAAATATTTGTCATAGAACTACAAAATAAGTAAATAAAAAAGGCAATCATATTTGATTAATTCCACATCTGTCTTGTCTTCTTTTAACTTTTTAGCCATTTAGTAAGTTATTTAAGTTATAAACATTTCTTTTTTAATTTCTCAATTTCCTTTTTGATGCCAAAATAAATGAAACATTCATGTTGTCCAGGAACCTACTTTAAGTAAGTGTATAGCAAGATTTAAAAACGCAAGCAACAATGTTTCAAGCTGCTCAGGTCATAATCAGATTCCTTTTTCTATAACCTGATGATGATCTAAGCAGGTTGAAATGTTTTTTAATGCCCTTATCAGCCATTTCTGCTATAAATCAAACATTACTCCACTTTCTTCATTATTAAATTATTGTATGTATATACATGAAAATATAACATCTAATTAAAAACATTGTCTTAAAACCTAATAGTTATAGAAAAATATTTTACTTTTGGTACTTTTCTGTGCTGAAGTTCCTTTTCTGTGTTAGTATGGTCCAATTGAGGAAATTTTCCCAACTAAATAGTGGTAAATCCTACAAACAAATTTCCAATTAAATTGGTAGATGATGCAATTTTATAATAGTTTAAGAAGATGGATGGTGAATAGCTGGAGGATTATGGCTGGATTTAGTAATTAATTTTGTTTGCTGTGAGACTGGGATTGAGACATCCATTAACTTTGAAGTTCATGGGCCAAAAGGCCACTTGTTATAATTAAGTAAACTGTTAATGTTAAACTGAAATGTAACTTGCAGTGGAAAATGTCAAGTGATGGAGTAAGACAACAGACTCTGGGTCTGATTAAACAGTGGTTACGACGGGCTAGTGTTTAGTTAAAAAATCACTAAAAATACAGTGCATACACTTAGATTTAGAATCAAAGTTGAATACTTGTCAGTTTTTCGAATACAATTTACGTTTTATTTCTTCACTTAATTTTTGGTGTTCTTCATTACAAAAAAAAAAAAAAAGAAAGGAAAAAATAAGTCTGGAAAATACTTTATATTTAATTGTAAGCAGTGGAGTCACATTATATTTTAAGGTTACTCAAAATACTAATTAACATGTGCTAGGCCTAACATTGTACAATACAAAACGTACCTCTTGACATACTGTCGTTTCCAACAACTTAGTAGGTGAAGAACTCCTTTAACTTCATCTCCTATATAAACAGGAGAAAGTGGGATGTGAATTGATTTTCTAACGTGCTTAATACAAGAAAATTTATCAGAAACACACGATTTAATGTATTCAATATCAATATCTTCTTTCCACCCCGCCGAAACCGTAGGTGCCATTTCTTCTAAACATGCTTTAACCTAAGAACCACGTTGTTTGAATATGGCAAACAAAGGTGTCAAACGAATCAATTAGTAAAGTAAATTTGAAGAATAGCCGAATTAAATTGAAAAACAAATTATATATTCAAATTCACAATATTTTTCATCAAATTCTACGTGAGTTGTTTTACTTCAACAATCAAGGACATGTTGTAAGCTATATTTTAATATTTATCTTAAATATTAGTTTGATAGAAGGAACTGGTTATTACGTAATGATGACACAATATCTAGAATTTTCGTATAGCAAATAGAAAACGAATAATTTGTCAATGATTATCAGTTTGTGAGTCAGATAATGAGAATTATTGCGTCTATTCGCCTGCGAGTCAGTTAATTCTGTATGATTACGTGAACTGGACGTGGCATTATTTTAAACAAGTAATTCAAAAACCCACCCAAAGCTAGAACATGTTACAACAATATATGCATATGTATATATATATATATACGTTTCAGTTGGTATTATATTTGTGTTAAGTAGAACCTAAATATAAGACTATTTTGTCAGTGAAGAAATTATACTCATAAATACGTGTTGTAGTTTCCCCAAACTTCTATTTTATTAGTACATGCTGGACAATCATAACTAAAAACATTCTTTGTCAGAATAAACACTTAATGGGATTCTATTTATTTTTAGAGAGAGAAATTCTCTTACAGCCTCCCCGAGAATCTTCTTTAGTTAAGCCTTTTGGTAAATTTAATTCATATCAAATTCCTAAAGCAAAATGCATTTCAAATATAGGAGCAGAAGGCTAAGACAAATATTCCTCAGTGGCTTTATCAGAAATTGTTCCATGTTCGTTTGCTGTCACTGTCAATTACATAGGTATTGTTACGTCTCCGTTTGTTAATTAATTTCCCGTAACTTCGTTCCAACGAAACTTTAGCGACACAAGTCCTTTCTTAAATAAAACTGGTTTATTCTTGCTGAATATAACTTTACGATACACTTAATTTCAACATTCGCGCTAAAACAAACGCTATAAGAACGAACATTAACTTTAACAATACTCTCTGACTGCAGATCAATTACCCACTACCAACACATTGTCCCGTCACGTTGTCACCATCTTATATATACCAGACTATCCCCAATCTAGTAATCTCAGGAAGGTTCGAGAAAGAAGTGGCGTGATACTAGTCACGTGACCTCGCTGACGCAACACTGTCCCTCCTTAGTATTGTTCGTCCCGAACAATAGCCACTGACATTAAACCAATAACAATTAACAATAACTTAATTAAAATGTGAAAAATTACAAACACAAAATTACAATTCAACAAAGTCTCTTAATTTTACGGGACGTATCTTCTTCCATACTGGTCTCCATCTCTTTGGCTTCTGCTTCATATGGGGTTCATCTGCTTCATCAGGAAATGTTCTATCGTCGATAACAGTCACATCAGTGTTAGTAACATCACCAAGAGCTTCACCGTTTCCCTTCTCAAAACTGAGTAGAATTTCTTCTTCGACGGTGGCTTCTTCAGGTGGCACGTCTTCA